GCTCTGAACTTGGCCATGTCAGCCATGCTGGAGGCTCAGAGCCGAAGGCGCAGCAGACACCCTTAGAAACAGAGTTCTGAGAGCCACCCTGGCCTTCACGCTCCCTCCTGGACTGGCAGCCCAGAGCCGCCCTGCCAGCCTTCGTGGGCATCAGGGTGGAAAGCAAGTCTTAGGCCCTGGGCTTGGCCAGCTTTGTGTCCTGGCTCAGCTCTCAGGGGCTGGTGTCTTGGGAGCCTTTGAGTATCCAGAGGCGAGATGGGGTGTGGGATAACATGGGTCCCAGTACAGTGCCCCCCATACGGCAGATGCTCGGCAAATGGTACCATTTACTGTGCTGGAGTAGTCAATGTGGGTGCTGGGCCAGCTGAGGGCCCAGTGATCAGAACTCAGCCGGCACCGACAGGAAAAGGAACTCACACTGGTACCCTGGAGCCTCTGACCGTCAGAGCTGGGGGAAGCTCACCCCCCTGCCCTGAGCCTCAGTTTCCTTAGGGGGTACAGCAGGGTAAATAAATGAGGCAAGGGGTCTGCGCATTCCGCCATGGGGCCTGCCACAGAGCTGGCGCTCCGTGACAGCCGCGGTCATTGTGTTCCTTTTGCTGTTTCTTCCTTAAGTCAGGATGGTCCAGGGAGCTGAGGATGGAGGTGAGGCCGTGCCTAGTGGCCCGAGCTGGCAGAGAGGGTGTGAGGGAGGAAGGGGCAAGAGATGGGAAGGGCTGGCAAGGTGACAGGGCTGGGTTTCTGGTTCGTGGGGGCGCCCAACCGTGGGTGTATCTGTGGGTCTCTGAGCCCTCCAGGAAGCTGCTTTGCTGGAGGTGGTAGGAGTGGTCACTGGGCTGCCTGGAACAGGGAAGAGTCACACAGATGCCTGATGAGGACCCCCCCCCCACCACCACCACACTCACCTTGGGGTTCTGCGGAGGAAGCTGAGAGCTGGGCCAGGCAGGGGGCTCCCAGGCTGCTGTTCCTGCTGTGTGGGCTCAGCCACTAACTCACTGTGACCTTGCATAGGTCACTGCCATCTTCAGGTTCCGTCTCCCCATCTGAGAAGTGGGTGGGCCAGAGTCTTTTTACTCTAATGGGCTTTGAGTCCAGTTTGAATACATCGACTCTCTTTTTTCTTTCCTTGCAGAAAGGTGATTGATTCAATCCCTCAGACCTTTACTAAGCCAGAGATGTCCATGACTCATTCATTAAAAAAAACTGATTGAGCCCCTTTTGTGGGCCAGGTCCAAGGCATCCCCATCAATCGCACCAGTCCCTGTTAGCTCTGAGCTCCCTGCGCAGCAGGTCCCACACAGACAGTCACAATCTGGGGCCAAAGCTCTGAGAGAGGGAGCACCGGGGAGAGCCCGGGAGGGCCGGGGAGAGCCCAGAGGAGACCCAACCTGCCCAGCTCAGTACGTTGGGCTCACTCTGCAGATCTGGGTGGGGGTGGGCCTAACCAGTGCAGGGAACAGCAAGGAGAAGGCCCAGAGGTAGGTGTGGGAGGGTATGAAGGGCACTGCTCAGATGTTGTCACTGCATGTGGGCTGGGCAGGAGTGGGCTGGGGGGAGAGGGGACAGGTTGGCAAGGGCTACAAACAGTTTTGAACCCCACTGAGGGTCCTGGACTTTGCCCTGGAGGGGATTAAGCAGAGAGTGGCACAGAGTTTGTTTGTTTGTTTAGCAGTTGCCAGGCATTTGACTGGTGGAGGGGTCAGAAGGGGTCAATGGATACAGAGAACTCCGGGGCGGGAATAGGCCTGAACTGGGTGGTTGTGGAAGTCAGACCGTTTCCTGGGAAAGGCTGCATTCCTGGGGTCCTTGTAGGGATGAGAAGAGGAGACTGTATCTGCACAGAAAGCATTCAGGCTCCAGAAGGCACATGCACTAGAAGGACGAAAGTTGGGCCTTTGATCGTGAGGAGACCTGGGCTCCAATCCCAGCTCTGCTCCTCATCAGCTGAGCGATCCTGGAGCCTCTCTACCCTCTCTGAGCTTGGGTTTCTGTAAATAGGGGTGATCGTATCTGATGGGCTTGCTGCTGCAAGGCTCCAGTGAGACGAGGGGCCTGAATGTGCTAAATAAAATGTAAAATGCTGAGTTGGTGCTGAGGAAGGCTGTTAACTTTCTAGATAAGAAACCAGAGCGATGATGTGATTTGGTAAGGCTCACACAGCAAAATCATATTCTTGTCACCAAAGAATGTGGGTTGGGACCCCGGCCATCTTTCCCCCTGCTTCCTACCCCTATTCCCATCTCCAGAGGCCAGTCTGGATCGGGCCTTGGGAAGCAAGGCCACGGATGGAGGTGGGGCAGGTAGCAGCAGCAGAAAGGAGGTCTCCTCTGGGGATAGGCAGCGAGGAAGGCAGGCACTAGGACCCGGAGCTCTGCCCCCTGGAATGAGGTCTGAGGGTAGGAGGCCAAAATGAGAACTAGTGAGAGGAGTACAAATTGCATTTTGGAAACATTTCTCCCCACATGGTTTCTAGCCTAATAGCAGCCGGGTAAATTTAACTCTCTGGGCCCAAAGAAGGAACCCAGGATATGAACCAGGAGTCCCGGCTATCAGCTTGGCCCTGTTGTCCACTGGCTTGGGACCACTCTAGGTGAAATATGGTTCAGTTTCCTGTAAAATGGGATAATAATCAATGTAGGGTGTTTTGTTAGTTCATTTGTCCTCATATCTGTCTGTTATTTCTGTGTGCATCCACCAAACTTCCTTAAGTCCCTCCCTGATGCCCAGCACAGGACTGAGTGCCAGAAATGGGAGCAGGGGGCAAGATGGAGATCATCCAGACATGGGAGGATTAGGCTGGGGTGGAGGAATGTGGAGCCCTCGCTAGGTCTGGCTGGGGTGGGGTTGGGTAGGAGAGGGGGTTGAGCCATCCTTTCCAGATGCTGTGTCTGGTTCCACCCCCCACTGCACCCACTAATGCCCACTGCTCTCCCTGCCCTCCCCGACCCACCCCAGGTAGACAAGGAGGTCTTGTGCCAGGGTCTTGGCCTGTTCCAGGTCCCCTCAATGCTCCCGCTGGACATCGAGGCCCTCGACCTATCTGGAAACCAGCTGCAGAGAATCCTGGCCTCGCCCCTGGGCTTCTACACAGAGCTTCGGCACCTGGACCTGAGCACCAATGAGATCAGCTTCCTCCAGACAGGTGTCTTCCAGGCCCTGCCCCACCTGGAGCACCTCAACCTGGCCCATAACCGCCTGGCAGTGGGCACCGTGCTGAGCGCCCCTGGCCTGGGCCCCCTGCCGCATGTGACATCTCTGGACCTGTCTGGGAACAGTCTGTACAGTGGCCTGGTGGAGCGGCTGCTGGGGGAGGCACCTGCCCTGCGCACCCTCTCGCTGGCAGAGAACAGCCTGACCCGCCTGGCCCGCCACACCTTCTGGGGCACACCCGTGCTTGAGCGGCTGGACCTCCACAGCAACGTGCTCATGGACATTGAGGACGGCGCTTTCGAGGCCCTGCCGCACCTGGCCCACCTCAATCTCTCCAGGAATTCTCTCACCTGCATCTCTGACTTCAGCCTCCAGCAGCTGAGGGTGCTTGACCTGAGCTGCAACAGTATTGAGGCCTTCCAGACGGCCCCAGAGCCCCAGGCTGAGTATCAGCTCGCCTGGCTTGACCTGCGGGAGAACAGACTGCTCCACTTCCCTGACCTGGCCGCGCTCCCGAGACTCATCTACCTGAACGTGTCCAACAACCTCATCCGGCTCCCCGCAGAGCCACCCCAGGGCGGTGAGGGCATCCATGCACCTTCCGAGGGTTGGTCAGCCTTGCCCTTCTCGAACCCCAGCCGGAACTCCAGCACCCACCCCCTCTCCCAGCTCTTGAATCTGGATTTGAGCTACAATGAGATTGAGCTGGTCCCTGAGGGCTTTCTTGAGCCCCTGACCTCCCTTCGCTTCCTAAATCTCAGCCGAAACTGCTTGCGAGCCTTTGAGGTGCGGCGTGCGGGCTTCCTGCCTTGCCTCGTGCACCTGGACATCAGCCACAATGCGCTGGAGATGCTGGAGCTGGGCCCCAGGGCCCTGGGGTCTCTGCGGACACTGCTCCTACAGGACAATGCCCTGCAGGACTTGCCCCCCTACACTTTTGCCAGCCTGGCCAGCCTGCAGAAGCTTAACCTGCAGGGGAACCAGATCAGGCCTTGCGGGGGGCCAGGTGAGCCCGGCCCCTCGGCCTGTGTGGCCTTCTCTGACATCTCTTCCCTCCGCATCCTGAACCTGGCGGACAATGAGATGGAGGTGCTCCGGCCGGGTGCCTTCCTCCACACGCCGCTTACTGAGCTGGACCTCTCTGCGAACCCAGGGCTGGATGTGGCCACGGGGGCCTTGGCGGGCCTGGAGGCCTCCTTGGAGGTCCTGGCCCTGCAGGGCAACGGGCTGGCCATCCTGCAAGTAGACCTGCCCTGCTTCAGCTGCCTGAAGCGACTCAATCTTGCCGAGAACCGCCTGAGCCGCCTGCCTGCCTGGACGCAGGCTGTGTCACTGGAGGTACTGGACCTGAGGAACAACAGCTTCAGCCTCTTGCCAGGCAGTGCCATGGGCGGCCTCGAGACCAGTCTCCGGCGCCTCTACCTGCAGGGGAATCCACTGAGCTGCTGCGGCAACGGCTGGCTGGCAGCCCAGCTGCACCAGGGCCGTGTGGACGTGGATGCCACCCAGGACCTGACCTGCCGCTTCGGCTCCCGGGAGGAGGTATCCCTGAGCCACGTGCGTCCTGAGGACTGTGAGAAGGGGGGGCTCAAGAATGTCAACCTCATCATCATCCTGACCCTCGCACTGGTCTCTGCCGTCCTCCTCACCACACTGGCCACCTGTTGCTGTGTCCGCCGGCAGAAGTTCAACCAGCAGTACAAAGCCTAGAGAGGCCAGAGACTGTAGAACGGCCCGGCCGGGAGCCCCGCCGGGTCAGCTGGGGAGCCAGAGGCACGGACAAGGGCGGGGGCTGACCCAAGGTCACACAGGGTCTGAGAACTCTGCTCTCTAAATCCCAGCCCGGGGCTCCTTTCCCTGTATCCCGCTGTACTGGCAGGTGACCCACTTCCCAGGCCACACATGTGGTCCAGCTGTGGACGCCGGAAGTCAAGCAGTTTCAGGAGCGACAGAAAATAAGGTCGACCTATCCAGTCAACGAATCTTCGCCCGGCATCTGTTTTGCACCACATCCTGCTCTGGGGACTGGGGACGCCCGGTGACTGAGACACATCCCTGCCCTCAGGCATCTCCCGGCCCTGGTGGGGAGGTGGTCCCCAAGCCAGGCAGTGACCACACGGAGTGTGGAGATCCAGGGCCCCAAAGCTCTCCAGCCCCAGCTGGCTGAGTCCTGGGGCTCCGTGGCGAGCCCTGCCTCAGCAGGGCCAGAGCAAAGGAGAGGCGAGACCCAGAAGACTTGTCTGAGCCGGTTCCAAGCAGACTGTTTGTCACATCTTCTGATAATGACTTTCAGCCTCTCTGGAACATGAAGAGCTTGTGACCGGAAAAGAAGTGGAGCCACATGGATCCGGCTACTAGGCGGGCTGCAGCGGCTCCTGGTTAAGAGGCGGTTGCCCTGGGTTCCGGCCGGGTGGTAGACCATCCCCTTTCCCACTCCAAACAGGCTCTTTCCCCACCGGGCACCCTCGTGGTGCCCACACTAGCCCAAACACCGCTCCAGCCCCCCAGCTCCTCTGCAGGCATATGCAGGCATGCTGTTCAGTCCCAGCCCTACGCCGGCTGGTGAGCCAGGAGTCAGAAGCTTAGGTGTCCGGTTCTGTTTTGCACCAGGCTCAGCAGCGGTGACACGTCTGCCTCTTTACGACAACCGTCTGAGGTTGGTCTTTTATCCCATTTCACCAAAACTCCAAATCTCTCCCTTCAGGGTCCTCCAGCTAAGAAACGACATAGCTGAGATTCAGACTCAAATCCTCCTGTCTCCAGGGCCTGACCTTTGCCACTGTGGGGGCTGTAGACCATTAGGTGGACAGGAAATGGACCCCCATCGAGGGAACAGACCCTGGGGGCATCCTGTGCCACATATACCCACCCACTCCTCTCCCACCTCTCTCCTAGGCAGGTAGACACAGGCCCTCCCCTCCTCCTCTGCCTCAGTTTCCCTTACTCCCTCCTTTGCAGTCTGGTGTGTATTCACCTTTTTCTGTTTTGCTCTTGTGTTCCCTCTTCCTCCACTGAGCGAAGTCCTGAGTTTGAGACTATTGAGTCCAACCTCCCCGTTGCACAGATAGGGAAACTGAGGCTGGGGAAGAGAATGGAATTTGCCGAGAGCTTCACAAGTCGGTGGCAAAGCCTGTGAGAAAAAGTGGGTTCAGACCTCCCTGGGGGTGTGAGGGGGGTTTAGGGCTTGGACCTGAGTGATTCCCTTCTCTCTCAGCTGTCATATCGCAAGATAATGCTGGCTCCAAACTCTTTCGGGTCCCCGTCAGGCAGGGACTTTTTCCTCTTAGACAAATGAGTAGAAATACTCATCTGGGTGTAACTCCCTATTCTTCACACCCATGGAATCATGGGCTTTCCAGGGAGCCCTGGGGTCAGCCCAAGACCCTGTGTTACTGTCCCCACCATCTTACCCATGCTTGGCCCGTGGTCTGGCTCACGATGGTGCTTGAGTGAGACAATGAAAACACCCCTCTCTCGGCCCCATTTTATAGACAAGAAAACTGAGGCCCAGAGAGGGTCAAGGACTCAGGGAGTCAGTGGCAGAGCCGGGGCTAGAAGCTGGTATCCTGGCCCCAGCCTGGGGCCCTGGTGGTATGTGGGACAGCCGGGTGGACCCAGCCCTGGTTGGGATCACAACCACAAGTGGTCACTGCACATAAACACTCTTCCTCAGGCCTGGAGGGCGGGGCGTGGGCCCCTTCGTGCCTGATCTTCGAAAACACTACGCAATGCTGCTCTCACCTCCCAGGAGCCAGGCCACAGCCCTGGCCTCGGGACCTGCTCTTTGTATAACCCACATGAATGTATTAAAAAATAATTTGGGAGAAACAGCGTGGCCTGCCAGCCTCCTCCTCACTGCGGGTGATTGGCCTCATGGCATCTGCTTGAGCCCTGCCCCCTCTGCTTCCACTGCAGGCTTTGGATCCTCATGGCTCACCCATGGAGAGATGGGCTGAGGGCTGTTGAGGGGAGACTGAGGCTCTGGGTCCTCCCCGCCCGGGACCTTGGGGCCTCAGCCCTCATTCCCCTGCCACACCTCTGACCCTTGCACTCAACAAGCCTTGACCCGGCCTGACGCTTCCTCCTTCGGCAGCCCCTGTTCTTACCCTC